CTGATGATGATGCTGCTGATGATGATTCTGATAGTGATGATGATGCTGCTGATGCTGATGCTGCTGCTGATGATGATGCTGATGATGATGCTGCTGCTGATTATACTGCGGATGATGATGATGCTGATGATGATGCTGATGATGATGATGCTGCTGATGACGATGATCATGATGATACTGATGATGATAATGCTGCTGATGCCTGCTGATGATGATGAGGCTGCTGATGCTGATGATGATGCTAATGAGGATCATGACGATTCTGATGGTGGTACTGCTAATGATTGCGCTGATGCTGATGCTGGTGCTGATGCTGTTGCTGATGATGATGCTGCTGCTAATGATGATGGTGGTGGTGGAAGTGATGATGATGCTGATGATTAAAGTCAGAAGGATACTGCTACGGAGAAGATGAAGACGAAAACTGAACTTTATAATACGACGAAGATTCTTCTTACACTAATAACAATATCAATAACAATATTATGAGTACAAACAATAATACGACGGATGCGAAGAAGAAGAACAGGAGAAGGAGGACGCGTGTAATAATGAAGGCAATCGTGGGGCCACACTTCACGCGCAGGAAAGAGCGAGGTAGGCCTCTACATAACCAGCAGGGTCATGTAGCGAGAGAACCTTTTCGCCTTTAATGCTCGTGATCGGATCTACCTAAGGCGGGCCGAATGCAGGCCAGTACCAGCGGTCCAGACGGCCGCGCTGCTATTCCGCTACTGCAGCACTGTGAAGCCAACGCGCTGCTTGCGGACCAGCGCGCCGTCCGCGACGACGGCGGCCGCCGCCTGCGACGCTGCTACCCTCGCGGCCTACGCGGAGCTCTGCGCGCTGGACCCGCTCGCGCCCGAGGCGTAGGCGCAGTGCCGCCTCCCGCTCCGGCTCGGCGGCCGCGGCCTGCGCGGCCAAGAATACCTCGCCCCGGCCGCCTGGGCCTCCTCGTGGGCGTAGAGCTTGGCAGAGGTCCGCGCCTGGACTGGTTTTGCGCCGGCAACATAGGAGCTTGCGTCCTGCCGCTGGCTGCTGCCTTCCGCAGCGCCCTCTCTGGCTTTGCCGCGCTGGCGCCGCCGCCGCCCAGGCAGGGCGAGGAGCCGACAGGGCCGCCCACTTGGCCGGAGCTCGCCAAACGCCCCAGAGGAGACTCCAGAAAATGCGTGCAGCAAGGATCGAACAGAAAAACTACGATTCCTTGCTCGGCGCCCTGGAGCCGGAGGCACGGGCGCTCCTGCGCGGCTGCGGCGGCCCGCGCGCCGCTGGCTGAGCGCTACGCTGGGCAAGGCCCGCCAGCGGATGGGCGGCGCTGACTACCTGGACGCAGCTCGCGCATTGCTTTGCCAGGACATGGCGTTGATGGGCGCCAATTGTGGCAACCGCGCCCGGACGGGCGAACGCGCCAGCCCACGCTGCGGCGAGGCTCTCTGCGGCAAGGCCTGCCACGCTCGGCGCTGCTCGCGCGTGGGCGGCCTCAAGGCTCGCAGCGGCGACATGTAGAGGGACTAGCAGCGCATCCGCGCGGAGTGCGGTTACCACTCCGCGCGCCAAGTCCACGACTCTGCCTGGGACCGCTGGACCTTGCGGCGCGCCGGCTGCAGCGTGCGCGGGGCCGCGGCCGCGCGGCCCCAGCGGACTGCGCCACCTGCAGCCGCGGCCTAGCCGCCGAGCGAGAAGAGGCCATCCTGGACCTCGAGACGCAGCGGGCTGGACAGCCCAGCCTGTTCTTCGACGTTAGTGTCTGGTACAGCGTACCCCGCGATGTCGACCGGCTGACCGCAGCCGCGGTCTGCGACGGGGCGGTGAATTCGGTGGCCGAGGCGGACAAAGGCCGGCGCTACCCCGAGGAGCAGGCGCCGTGGCGCATGGTGCCTCCGGCGCTGGAGACCGCCGGCCGCCACGGCAAAGCGGCCCTGCCGCACCTGTGGACCCTGGCCCGCGAGCAGGCTGCCTTCCTGGAGGAGGAGGATGGGGTCGGTGCCGCAAGGGCGATCGCTGGACACGTGGTCGCTCGCGGGGCCGCGAGCTCAGAGTCACCTTGCAGCGGGCGACTGCGCGGCAACTCCGGACTGCGTTGGGGGTTGACCGCGCAGCGGGCGCGGCTGGCCTGCGCGGCCACGCTTTGCCGGGTGAGCTGGCGCCGCGGTGCCGGCCGAGGCGGCGCCAGGCAGCTGGCTGCGGAGCTGGTCCGCGGACGCGGTGAAAAACGCCTACATCATCGTCGCGGCGCTCTCCGTGGTCAGCGGGTGCGGGGGGCGATGCGCGAACCCACTTCTTGCCCAGGAGGAGGGGGGAGGGAGAGAAGGGCGACCAGGCGAGGAGATGGAGGAGGGGGAGGAAGAGGACGAGGAGGAGGACGAGGAATAGTGAAACTAACACCAGTTAGTATTCGTAGTTCTAGTAATGCCAATAATGCTCATAGTAGTCATATGTATATATATATATATATGTATTTATATATAGTAATAATGATACGACTGATAAGGCATATAAT